TTATGGTATACATAGTTTGTTTTTTAAATCTACCTATGTTTGAACTGATTCTTTTAAAGCATGTTTTAATAGCTTGTAAGGTAAGACCCTTTGTATTTCTTTTTAAGTGTTTCTTGGCTATTCTCTACATTCTTATGGATGACCTTAGAATCATTTTGTTAAATTTTCTTTTCCTCCCCAAAGTCTAATTGAGCAGAAGTGGTTAAATAATAGATGAAGTGGCCAAACTACTTTTTCACTTTTGTCATATTATAAACATATGTAATAGGTTAAGAAACATATCCTACATTACATAGCCATTCAATTATAGTTAGGTTTGGAACTCAGGTTTTTCAGACTGAGAAGACAGCTCTTAATTCCCTGATATACTGTGTATGTGAGATTTTCTTAGTGTTTTTTCCTGCTTGAGATTCCATGACTTTCTTGAATCTGTATTTGTCTTTTACCAAATTTGGATACTTTTGGTCACTATTTCTTCAAATATTTTCTGCCCCATTTTCTCTGTCATCATCTAAGATTTTGATTACCGGTAACTTTGATGTTGCCTCACAGTGTCTGAGACTCCATTCTTAAGTGTTTTTTTCTTTAGATTGTTTATTTCTATGGGTATATTTTCAAGTTCATGGGTTCTTTCCTCATTTACATTTTGCTTTGAAGCACATCCAATTCTAGAACTTCCATTCAGTTCCTTTAAAAAAATAAATATAGACTATTGATTGATTCTCTTTCCCTGAGCACATCTGTAATTGTTGTTTTAAGATCTTTGCCTGCTCACTTCCGCTAACTCCAGTATCTCAGTAATCTTTGAGCAGATAGTGAGTAACTAATCCAAGGAATCGGACACATTTTGTGGTTGTCGTGAAGATAAGGGAGGCAAAGATCGAGTTAAGTTGATAGAGACATTTAATGAGATCTGCTTCAGTTACATCCTTTGGCCTGTTTTAGATTCTTTGTTAGAGGTGGATACCTCCGAGTTTATAGCAATGTCAGTTAGATTAGTTGCAATCAGAAGTAAGAGTGAGAGGCCACCAGGTATGTCCCCTCTTGTAGCCAAGGTAGGGTCATAAGGACAAGTAGAATAGTGAGAAACTTTTGAGCAGAGCTGCTTAGAAGTGTGAGTAGAAATGGTTTTAAACTATGTAATTATCAGTAAGATTATCATCTCACTTGAGGGATCAAGTTGCTTGTTTCATGTAGTGGGTTGAAGGAGCTATAATCAACCAGTCATTTATTATTTATTCTTCTCAGGAATATGTCTTCAAAGAACTTTTTTTTTGGTGAATAATAATATTAGTAATGGTTTCTCATATTTCTAAAGTTGTTCACAGTTAATTTTTTCATGATCAATTGTTTTCATCTAACTTGATCTCTGAAATTAAAGTTATATTGTCATGTTTAGTAAGAACACCCATAGTTTCTCAGATTTGAAAGAATATTGTGAAAAAGTTCTGGCCAAATAAGTAAAATTTTGAGCTAACCATTTTCATTAAATTGAGTATAGATCCATTCTGATTATACAGGTTTTAAAATTTTCATTAAAAATGTTCCATGTGAATTTATGTGTATAAAAGAATGCCTAAAACTTTTTTGTACAGTTCAAAGAACGATAATAAAATTAACATCCCTGTACCATTTGATCCAGTTTAAGAATTAACAGGATCTCAGAAACCCCTGTGTTTCTGTCCCTTTTTCCTCAAGAATAAATTACCACCATGAAATTGGCTTGCTTTTCTTTATAGTGTTACCATTTTTATAAGTATTCCTATAGAATATATTGTGTACTTTTGCTTATTTTTAAACTAGGTGTAAATAAGTCACACTGTATTTTCTGTGACTGCTTTTACAAGTACTTTTTGGGATTTATCCATGTTGATTAAAGTAATAATAGTTCATTTATTTTCACGTCCATATATTACGTGATGGTATTACTGAATCACAGTTTACTTATTCATCTTCATTAGATGGACATTTGTTTTCAGGTTTTCATGATTATGGGGATAATGCTGAATAACACATGTCTTCCGGTTCCCATATGCAAGAGTTTCTCTAGATGCTGTTATCTAAGGTGGAATCTCTGGGTTGTAGGATATGCACACATTCAGTTGAAATAGGTAAATGGCGAACTTAAATAAAGTGGTTGTGTTAATTTACATTCCCACTAGCAATCGACAAGATGTTCTTGCCAACATTTGGTATTATTGACTTTAAAATTTTGCCAATTAGATGAGTGTGAAATTGTATGTCATTGTGGTTTTTGGTGCATTTCTTTGATTGCTAGTGAGGTTGGGTATCTTTTGATATGTTTATGGGCCATTTGTATTTTCTTCTCTATGAAATGCCTTTCATGCTCCATTTTTCTATTGCCTTGCTTTTTTTCTTTTAAATTGATTTAGTAGGAGATCAACATATATTCTGGATACTAATCCATGTTCAGTTATGTCACAATTAAATGCTCCTAATTAGTGTCTTGCCTTTATGGTGCTTTTTGATGAAAAAAATCCTTAATTTTACATAGTCAAATTTATTATTCTTATACTTTATCTTGATTAAAAAAATTTCTCTAACGTAAAGTAATGTCCTATATATTGTTTTTTAAACAACCTGGAATGACTATATATGGTGTAAAATACCATTCCAGTTTTCTTTCTTTTCTTCCTGTGTTTTTTATATCTTTAGTTACTGTACTTGCTTGGATCCATCATTATAATGTTAAGTAAAAGTGATAATTATTTTAATAGAAGTCATCCTTGTTTGTTTCCTGACCTTAAAGAGAATTTTTTAACATTTTACCTTTAAGTGTTATGCTTGCTCTTTGGCTGCTGCTGCGGTTATAGCTATCATTTATCAGGCCCTGGAAATTTTCTTGTATTTCTCATTTGTTAAATGTATGGTTTTTAAAAATAGCATGGATGGTTGTTTAATTTTACTGAACGGTGCTTATAGTAAATATATTTTTGAGCTATTTTTCTTCAATCTGTTTATGTGGTGATTTAGGTTAATCAGTTTTCTAATTAAAATAACCTTGCATTCTTGGGATAAACCCAACTCGATTATATTATTTTATTTATAAATTACTTGATTAGTTAGATAATATTTTGATGAGACTTTTTACATCTATACATTCATGAGCAAGACTGTATTTTTGGTATGAGGTTAGGATGAAAAGAGCTTTTCCTCTGTTTATTATTTGGAAAGTTTGGTTTAGTGTGGGCGTTACCTCTTATGTGTTTGGTTGAACTTGCTTGTAAAGCTGTTCAGGATTAGTGTAGTTTTGTGTGTGGAAGATTTTGACTACTGATTCAACTTATTTATTAGACAGCTCATTTTTTCAATTTAAAAAAAATCACTTTTCAGGAATTTGTTCACTTCTACATTTTCAGATTTACTTGCATAAGTTGTTTTTTATATTTTCTTTTTAACCTCAGCACCATCTGTAGTTTTGTACAATTTCATATTCCCAGTATTGATTTTTTTTAAAAATAATCTTCCTTTTTCTTTTATTAGTCTTTTCAATGAACCATCCTTGGGGCCTGTGGAACCTTTGTATAAATGCTTATGTTCAAATTAATTTTATTTGTTTCTTATATTTGTATTTTCTTCCTTATACTTTGAGTTTATTCTTTTGGTTTAATATTTTATGCTGTGTTTAACACCTTAATTTTCAGCCTTCCTTCTTTCTCAATATAAATATAGAAGGCTCTTTTTCTTGTTTTGGTAAATACTGGTGTAGGCTCTATCCTAGAAGTTGTGTTAGTAGTTTTATTATTTTGAATATTTGATAGCTATCTTACTAATTTATGAACATTTTATAATTATCTTACTAATTTCTTCTTTGAAATTGTGTTTGGATTTCATAGCTTATGGGTTTTCTGGTGATAATTCTGTTATTGATTTACAATTGCATTAATTGCACTGTATTCATATAGTTTGGTTTTTATGTTCCCAGTACTTTGAATTTTGTTGGAGGTAGTTTTATGTCTTGGTATGTTATCAAAATTTGTAGAGGTTCACTTGATGTTTGAGAATTCTATTAGGAGATATGTAATAAGATTTCCCTCTTATTTGATTACAGTCTCTGTGAAGAAGACTTGGTTTTTCTCTTTCATTCTCTTAATATGGCATATTACTAAAGATTTTAGAAGGTGAGGAACATGAGGGGAGGACAGGAAATAGGTCTAAATTTCTCTTCGAGGAAGCAGAACATAGAATTGATTTTATAATTTTAAAGAGTGTCAGTTTATCCCTTATAGTTAATAGGATAATGTCTACCCTGCAAACTAGACAAAGTTGCAAAATTTACTTAGTACTCAAGTTCCAATTCCTATGTTACTTCTTCTGTTAAGTGTTAGGGTTCATATAAGATAGTGTTCTATTTTCACTGATCCCAAAGCACTTTATGTTTACCTCTATTAGAAACTTAATCACATTGTTACTATGCAGTGTGTATACTGTCTGTCTTTCCTGAAGACAGAACTTCTTGAAGGAAGATACCATACTTGTTTTAAACTCCAGTGATTTCCATCATGGCTTTGTATAGCGTGAACTCTTGCTAAAGGTATGTTAAAAGGATAAATAAATTAATGTGAAAGAATTATTAATTTATTTGGTAGGAATAGCTGACACTCTCTCTGGTGCCATGAAATTTTGGACCTTTACTTTTGGACCTTTGTGTTAAAATATATATCTAGCGTTGAAAGTTAGAATACACAGAATGTTTAACATGAGAACAAACTGGTCTCATTTGTTATTTTGCATTATTTCATATGCTATTTGGTGTTTATAGATTTTTTTCTTCAAAATATAATTCATATATAAGAAATAAAGGAAATATATTGTTTCCTTATGGAAATGAAATCTATTCTCAATATAGTCTGATGAAATTATTAAATACTTTTGCTTAATTCTTAATCATAACTTGAATTTTTATTTAAGAAATACCATTATTTATGTTAATTTGCATCACATTTCATTAAGAAAGTAATTGTTGCTTTTTGTTTCAGCTAAACCATTTACTTCTAAAGTGAAACAGATGCGATTACATAGAGAAGACTTTGAGATACTAAAGGTGATTGGTCGAGGAGCTTTTGGAGAGGTAAGGGAAAGAATTTATAGAAGGTCTGCCAATTGTTTTGGAAGCTATTTTATACTGTCTGAAAAATTTTAACTGAAATATTATTTACCCTGTTGCAATTGATATGATTGATCAGAAAATATATTAAAGTTTTGAATGAAATACTTCTACATGGAATTTCTCCCCCCAAGATATTTCTATTCTTCATATGTCATTGTAAGTTTGAGTATGTTTCTGGACTACCTGTTCCACTGGTCTTTTTGTCTGTCTTTGTGCCAATAGGACACCATCTTAAATTACTCTACATTGTCTTGATAGTGTATGTACCTGGTAGTGTGTGTACTCTGACTTCTTCCTTTCCTCCTCATTTCTTGGCCCTTTATATTTTTATAATTTTAGAATCAGTGTTTCAGTTTCTACTTACTTTTTAAAATATATATATATATATATATATTTAATTGATTTTAGAGAGAGAAAGGGAGAGGGAGAAAGAGAGAAACATCGGTGCAGAGAATGATGCTCAACCACACACCAACCAGGGGTCTACTTACTCTTGAAAACCCACGCTCACACCCACACATCCGTTGGAATTTTTATTAGGATTGCACTGAAACTAGAGTCATTTTGTACATAATTGAAATCTTAACAATATTGAGTCAGCCAATCTTTGATCATGGTATATTCCTCCATTTATTTAGGGCTTTGTAAATTTATCTCAGTGATGTTTTATAGTTTTAATTTTATAGAGAGGACTTCTACATCTTTCAGCAGATTTATTTCTAGGTATGTGATATTCTTTGTTATTTTATTAGAATAGCAGAAATGCTTGAAATGCCATATTTTTATTGTTTTGCTCAAAACTATTTTACATTTTAAATGGGATTTTTTTTTATCTTTAGAAGTTTATTGCTCAATTTCTAAATATTTGGAGGGTTTTCTAGTTATTTCTATTACTGAGTTATAATGTAATTTCAAAGCAGTCAGAGAACATAAACTGTGGTTTCAATCCTTTGAAATTTGCTGTGTGGTGTTCTATAAATATTAGGTCAAATTCATTAATTTTGTCTAAATCTTCCACATTCTTACCTTTTCTTTTCTCTGCTTGATATGTCATTTCCTGAGAAAGGATTTATTATTTATTATTTTTTTAGTTTTCACTGATAAGAAATACAATTGTTATATCTTCCTGGTGATTAACTCTTTTATAATAATTAAATGATCCTTGTTATCTCTGAGTAATGTTTTTGAGTGAAATTTTTTTTATTCTGATATTAATAAAGTGATTCTAGCTCTTTTTTAAATTAGTATTTGCATTAAACATCTTATTCCATCCTCTTAGTTTCAGCTTTCCATAACCTCGTGGTGTGTTTACTGTTAAGTAGAATATGTGTTACTCTTTTTTAGGTTAAGAAAGTTTTCCTTCTACTCGTAGTCTGTTGAGAGCTTATCATGCTTAGGAGGTAACTTTATCAAAAGCTTTTTCTATATCTAATTTTTTCTGTTCTGATGATATGCTTTAACATCTATATTTGGTTAGTGTGGGAATTACATTAATTTTTAAATATACCAATATTGCATTATTACGCAAGTCTAATTGTTCATGTGCATCCTTTAAATATATGGTTGAATTTGATTTGTTGTTTCGTTACGATTGTTTTGTTTATGTGTGTGAGCAAGATGGACCTTTAACTGACCTCTTATAATTTCCTTATTTTTTTGCACAATATGCTTATTAGCTTATAAGACAATTTGGGAATTGTTGCTGCTTTCTCAATTTTCTGTAAGAATTTGTGTAAGATTGATATTATTTCTTTCTTTAAATGCCTGAAAGAATTCACTAGTGAAGTCATCTACACTAGGAAGGCTTTTTTTTTTTTTTTTTGGTTAGTTGTTTACATCTTTTGAGGTAAATCTTATATATGTTGAAATACACTACATGTGTATGTATAATTTCATGAGTTTTGACAAATGAATTCACCTTTATCAAGATGTAGAACATTTACATTCCCAGGAGGCTCCCTTCTCAGTCAGTTCCACATAATTTCCATCAAGTGGCAACCACTGTTCTAAATTCTAATTGTGGGTTAGTTTTGCCTGTTTGAAAATTTCATATAGATGGAATTATATCATATACTCTTGTGTCCAGCTTCTTTCTCTCAGAATAATGTTTGCGAGATCCATCCTTGTGGTCAAATATGTTACTACTTCCTTTTTATTGCTGAGTAGTATACTATTTTATTAATATATCACAATCCATTTTGTTGATGAATATTTGGGTTGTTTCTGTTTTTTTGGCTATTAGGAATAAAGCTTATATGCGTTTTTTTGAAATATGTTTTCATTCTCCTTGGCTAAATACCTAGGGTTGGAACTGCTGTGTTGAATTGTAGGTCATGTTTAAATTTAAAAAAAAACTGGCAAACCTTCTCCAGTGGGGTTGTACCATTTTACATTCTTACTAGTTCCAGCAATATTTTTTGTTGTTTGTCGTTGTAATTTTAGCCATTCTAGTGGGTGTGTAATAATAGAACATCATAGTCTTAAATTGCATTATTTGAATTTATATTGTATACTCACCATTCTTATATCTTCCTTTATGAAGTATATGTTCTCATTTTTTAAAATGTGGGTATCCAGTTGTTTCAGCAGCATTTGTTGAAAAGTCTGTTTCCCTCTACTAAATTACTTGAGCATCTTTGTCCAAAAAATCAGTTGACTGTGTAAATGTTGGTCTATTTCTGCTCTTTCTGTTCTGGTTCATTGATCTCTTTGTCTGTCCTAATGCCATACCGCATTATCTTGATTTGTGTAGCTTTATATTATAAAGTTGAGAGTATGTAATGAAGTGTGAGTGTACGTCCTCCTACTTTGTTCTTTTTCAAATTGTTTTAGCTGTTCTAGGACTTTTGCATTATTGTATAAATTTTAGGATCAGTGTGTCAGTTTCCATCAAAGTCTACTGGTATTGAAATTGAGTTTGCATTCAGTTTATAGGTCAGTTTTGGGCGGTTTGACATCTTAATGTTGAATCTACTTGTTAGTCCATGAATAAGGTATTTGTCTTTGTTTTTTAAGGTCTGTTCTAATTTTTCTTAAGAATGTTTTGTTACTGTAGTATACAGGTCTTGTTCACATTTTCTTAAATTTAGTTCTAAGTACTTTATATTTTATGCTATGGTAAGTGATATTTAAAACAATTTTATATTCAAATAGTATTCTGCTAATATGTAGATAACACCACTGATTTTTGTATCTGACTTTATTTTCTAAATTTACTTTAGTTTTTTGTTGATTTTGGTTGCTGCTTTTTCTAAGTAAGCAATCATTGTTTGAGAATAGAGACAGCTTAGTTTCCTTTTCACTTTCCAGATTTTATACCTTTTATTTCTTTATCTTGACTTACTGCACTAGTTTGGACCTCTAGTACAGTGTTGAATAGGTGTCATGAGGGTAGATATCCTTACCTTACTCTTGAACTTAGGAAGAAAGGATTCAGCGTTCACTGTTGTGCTGTTAATTGTACATGTTTCTGTAAGTGTCCTTTATTTGACTCAAGAAATTGTCTTCTATTACTAGTTTGCTGAGAATTTAAAAAAATTAATTACTAATAGGTGCTTAATTTTTGTCGTATGCTTTTTCTGCATCCCTTGACATAATCATTTAGATTTGCTTTTTTATTCTGTTAATGTGGTAGGTTACCTTGATTGACTTTTTAAAATAGCCTATTTATTTATTTTTATCTTTATTGTCAAAAATATTACAGATGTCCCCTTTTTCCCCCATTAACCCCTTCTACTCTTCACCCACTCCCCGCCCCAGGCCTTCACCACACTATTGCATTTTTTAAAGCAGTTTTAAGTTCATAGCAAAATTGATCAGAAAGTACAGAGAGTTCCCATATAGTCCCTGTCCCTACATATGGGAAGCCTCTCTCACTATCAGCATACCCACCAGAGTGATAACATTTGTTGCAATATATGAGTCTACATTGACGCATCATCACCCGAAGTCTGCAGTTTACATTGGGATTCACTCTTTGTGTTGTACATTGTATTGGTTAGGACAAATGTATAATGACATATGTACCATTGTAGATAGTATCATACATAATACTTTCACTGCTTTAATAATCCTCTGTGCTCTGCCTATTCATTCCTCCCTCCCCTACCTTCTCCACAGTTTTGGCTTTTCCAGAATGTCATACAGTTGCAGTCATACAGTATGCAGCCTTTTCAGATTGGCTTCTTTCATGCACTTAAGTTTCCTTCTTTTCATGGCTTGATAGGCCATTTCTTTTTGGCACTGAAGAACATTCCAGTGTCTGAATGTGCCGCTGTTTATGTATCCGTTCACCTACTGAAGGGCATCTCGATTGCTTCCAAGTTTTGGCAATTGTGAATAAAGTTGCTGTAAACATCCTGTGGGATATTGTGTGGACATAAATTTTCTTTTCATTTGGGTAAATACCAAGGAGCGTGATTGCTGGATCATATGAGTGTTAAGTTTTATAAGACTGCCAAAATGTCTTCCAAAGTGGCTGTACCATTTTGTATTCCCACCAGCAATGAATGAGAGTTCTGTTGCTTCATATCCTCAACAGAATTAGGAGTTGTATTTTACATTTTGGCCATTCTAACAGGTGTGTAGTGATATTTCATGGATGTTTTAACTTGTAATTTTCTAATGATAGGTGATATTGAGCATCTTTTCAGTAGCTTATTTGCCATCTGTATATATCTTCTTTGATGAGGTGTCTGTTAAGATCTTTGGCTTATTTTTTTAAAGGGGTTTGTTTTGTGATTGTTGAGTTTCAAGAGTTCTTTGTTTATTTTGGATAAAGGTCCTTTATTAGATGTGTCTTTTGTATAATTGATAAGCTAGAATTGATTAAAATGTAACTTATGAGACAGCATATTCTAATTTTTCAATGCTTTTGAGATTTATTAAAATTTGTTTTATGGTCCTGAGATAGCCTATTTATATGAACACTCCATGTGCATTTGAAAATAATTTTTATTCTA